GGAGCTCACAGACCCCAGTCTAACAGCTGGAGAACCAGCATAGAACCAAACCAGGCCCCCTGAACATGGGTGTCAGTTGGGGGACCTAGGCAGTCTATGGGGCCTCTGGTAGTGGAACCAGTATTTATCCCTAGTGCACAAATGGACTTTGGGAGCCCATTCCCTATGGAGGGATACTCTCTCAGGCTAGATACGTGGGGGGAGGGCCTAGGCCCTGCCCCAAATGATGTGAAAGACTTTGATGATCCCCCATAAGAGGCCTCACCCTTCCTGAGGAGTGGATGGGGGTGGAATGGGGTTGGTGGGGGGACATGGGAGGATTTGGGGGAGAGGAAACTGGGATGGGTATGTAAATAAGGGTTTTTTTTTTTTTTGGTTTTGCGAGTCAGGGTCTCTCTGTATTGTTTTGGAGGTTGTCCTTGAATTTGCTCTGTAGACTAGGCTGGCCTGGAACTCACAGAGATCTGCCTGCCTCTGCCTCCTGAGTGATGGGATTAAAGGCGTGCACCACCAATGCCCGGCTATTGTTCTTATTTAAGTAAAAATTAATTAAAAAAGAAATACAGGTAGAGTTTGTATTGAAAATGAAACAAAAACCAATATATATAGAGAGCTGCTCCTGGGGTCAAGGAGAGGCACAGCTTTAACATTGAGTCCAGCTGAGATAGAAGGGGAAAACTGGCTTAGAGAAGAAATGTCAGACCCATGTCCACATATCCACATGCATCAACAGTTGGGGACCAAGCCCAGCAAAAAGATGGAGACTATTTTATGATATAATCTGTTAATCGAACTGTTTACGTAATATTTTATTTCACCTTTTTTTTGTTTGTTTTTTTTTCAAGACAGGATTTCTCTGTATTGTTTTTTGGAGGTTGTCCTGGAACTCACTCTGTAGACCAGACTGTCCTTGAACTCACAGAGATCTGCCTGCTTTTGCCTCCCAAGTGCTGGGATTAAAGGCGTGAGGCACCAACGCCAGGTTTTATTTCACCTTTCTTAAACACTGTATTGTAGAGTTGTTATTTGTTCCCTGTGCATTCTTGGCTGTGTTTAATCTTCTGATCTAAGTATTTCTTACACTAGCATCCACTCAGTAGTTAGAAATTTCCCATAGGACCTAGGCTAGTGGTGGAACTTTATGGCCAACTGCCCTGTGCATGCTCATCTTTAGTCTGGTTTACTGTTGGAGCCTTAGCATGGCATCAAATCCCTGTGAGTTTGCATGTGCAGCTGTTCTGTGTGTCCAGAAGACACTGCTTCATTGTAGTCATTCACTAACTCTGGCTCTCACACTCTTCCCATCCCTTCCTCCACAATGATTCCTAAACCTTTGGAGGAGCGGGTGGGAAATAAATGTTCAATTAATATTGGAAACTATAATCCCTTATTCTCTCTGTGCATGTTGGCCCATTAGGAGTATATCCTGATCATGATCTACTGCAACCAGAAGTTTCTTTGATGATGGATGAAATATCTTAATCTTCGGACATAAATATCAGTTATTAGGAGTTGGTTTAATACTATGTCCACTTAACACAATAATAGTAGTTGGTTCTCTCCTAGGGTCTATGAGAGCTATCTAGCTGTAAATTCTTGTTATAATGGGTAAGTGAAGAGGGGTTGGAAAGCCTGTAAGAGCCAGAGCTATTGGATGTCTTCAGTAAAACAGTATCTACTAAAGATAACAGAATTAGCTCACAGAAGTTGTAACTACATTCACAACACTTGTACAAAATAAGCCCAGCCAATCTAGTATGGATCAATGAGGGGCTCATGAATTACTAAGCTCAGCCATGGAACTACTGGCAGTTGGAGGGTATGGAGAACACAGTGTCAGCCTGACAAGCTTCCCACACTGCAGTTATTTGTGCCATACCACTTCATACACAGGTCACACTCAGTGGACTCAGTACTCTTTAACAATTTACTATGTTGGGAGGGAAAAGACACGGTAGGCATGGTGGAGAAATCTGAGGAAAAGGAATGGCAAGAGTACATGGTTAAGACACTACAAAATCAACGTTCTCAAAAGACATAAAATTACCTTTCAAAAAAGAGCTGTGGCTTTTGGGATTATGCAAACTTGACTAGTTTTTAGTAGTGATTAGGTCCATGAATCTGGCTGTCATAAAGTTTATAGAAGGGCATTATCTTACTATGGAAAGTGAAGCAAGAAAGAAGGGTACTCAAAGATCTCTGGTTCTAAAAGCCACAGAAGCCTGCATCAGTGTAATCCCAGGGAACAGAGGGGCTCCCTGGAGATTAGATAGGGTGAGACTAATCCTGCATCTCCCACTTGTCTTTGCCATGAATACCAAAGAGGAATTCTAAACAGCGGCATTTCTTCCAAATCTCCTTTTCTTTCGTTTGTCAATCATTACTAAACTTGAAAGCTACAGAGGCCTGTGTTGATGTAACTTCAGGGAAGAGATACCTTTGGATTGTGTATGTGTAGTGCTCAGAGAGACCAGAAGAGGGAATCATATCCACTGCAACTGGTGTTGATAGTTGTGAACAGACATATGGGTGCTGTGAACCAAGCATGGGTTTCCTTTATGAGAGGCAAGTTATGTTAACCAGTGAGCTGTTTCTCTAGACCTCAACAAAGAACTTTGCAATTGCTGGGTCAGTAAAGGCAAATTAACTCTCCTGTGCCCCCTACCAGTTCCTGTGCTGTGGTTAGAATACTTCTCAGTGTTTCCTCTTTTCAAAGAGTACTGGCCTGTCTTCAGTGCAGTTTTTTCTAGCTGTGCTTAGAACTTAGGAGTCAACCTGTCAAGATTCTCCTGTGAAACTGAACTCTTTCCTATGACAATTACAAAACAGAAAAACAGCTTTTTAAAATGATACAAATGCCAAACACAAAACAGGCACCCCCTTATAATCTTCAAGGACAAGGAATTGTAGAGCATGCTCATAGCTCACTGAAAACACAACTTCAAAAAATCAGTAAAGGGGAATTATGCCACATAACACATTTAATCATGCACTTTTCATTTTACATTTTCTGAATGTGGATGCCTGTGAGCAATTTGCCGCAGACACATTCTGGCATGATGGAACTTGAGCGACTTTCGCTCAAGCCAAATGGAAAGATCCTTGCATTGGATTATGGAAAGGACCTGACCCTGTTTTAGTATGGAGTCAACGGTATGTTTGTTTTCTCACAGGAAGAAAATGAGGTTCGATGGCTGCCAGAAGGCCTGGTGAGGTGCGTGGGGCAGAGGAATGCCAGACCTGTGATTACAGGAGCCTGCCCACGCGAATTCCAGTAATATCTGAAGTTTCCTGACCCTCTGATGTCATCGATTCCACAGTCCAAGAAGGAAAGGAGATTTGCACTTTCTCAACAAGCCTGCTGCCTCAACTTCCCAGACCTGTGAGTTTTCATCCTGGAGCCAACCAAGGACTGAATGTCTAGGAGTTATACACACCACACCTTTGAAACACAGAACTCATTTTTGCCAGTTTTCCTCTTTGGGGGAAAAGGACTCACTTTGAACAACTGAACACTATAGTGAAGTTGATGTGTGGCTAAAGCCCCTCTTCAGTATCTGGACAGGACATGAAGAATAGTTTTGCAGCTAATATTTAGTACTCAAGGACTGTGGTATCTCAAACTTATCTTTGGAAATTATAAGCAGCAGTGCACTGGACTTTAAGAGAGGGAAAAAGAAAAGGTTCAGAATTGTAGGGTTATTCATACTTCCCCCACCATGAGAATATTTTATTGCCCTTTGATTGGACTGAGATTATGAGAAGTGTAACCCAGCCAATTGTATGTCTTTTGCTATTAATCATACTGGAATCATTAGTATGTTTGCAACCTTTGGTGTGCTATGTGTTTATGGGCATAAAAGATCAGAGCTCATTCTGATAGGAATTTGACATGATGCTTCTTTGGACACAATGTAATTTTAAAAAGGCAGATTTAGATTTTGATACTGCTAAAGCCATTTGGGACATCCCAGACCAATTTTAAATCTTGATTCATCCTCTCCTTTTGCAGGAGATGCTGTAGCCATAAAAGCATATGCATTTGCTTAGCATCGTCAGGCTTGCTTGTGAACTCCTGATGAAAAATTGGCTCAGAGGTACGTGGCATCAAGCTATGCACTATCCGCTAACATTTTTATTTACAGAGATGGTCAAAGACAGGTAAGATCTTTTTACCTCCAGCAACCTAAGACAGGTCACACATAACGGAATGTGTGTTCCGATGATGGATAAGCCCGGTAGGTGGAAGACAACATAAGAGAAGACACAGTTATCAGTCCTGTAGCAGAAGCGCAGGCATTATTAAATTAAGGGGGAATTTGTTGGTGCCCATAAGATGCCTCTACTCCATCTTGGCTCAAGGGCAGACAGCTCAAAACTGTCCTCAGTAAGTCATAAGACCTAAAGGCAAAAGGCATGGCTACAGCAGGATGTTCAATCTTGGCCTTGGCTGTCTTATTTTAAATCAACAGACCTGGTCAGGTAATGAGAAGTTGAATCTAAGGTGTAATTACTGAATCTTTGGAGAAAAGAGGAAGAAAAGTCTGTTTGTTACATATACATGATACCATGTTCCCAGTTTTGGTTAAGGCATATAAAAGTGGTGAAAAATAAACTCATGGCAATTCAGTATTAACTGAATCTGCCCCCCTGACATATTCTATGTCTTCATCTTTTCCTTTAACTCCTTTAGCTAGCCTTTCTTTAGTCCATACTCCCCCTCTCATGTACAAACCTCGGGCTGCTTGGCTGGCTCTGACGGCAATCCCACGAACACAGCTTCCGACAATATATATATATATATATATATATATATATATATATATATTATCAAGTAAGAACTGAAACTTTCATGATTAAAACTTGAAGAAGTAGCCAGTTAACCAAATCCATCCTATCTGCAGAATGAGTATGTGTGGCTTGTGTCCCTGCTCTAATATGGTTCTATTTCCATGAAAACAGGGATTGTGTTGTTATACAAAAACCACAGTTCTCACCTGAAAGGGAGTGAGACATAATTTATTTTGGAACCATATATGAATGACATTGTTATGTTAGCTATCTCTAGACACAAACAAATGCCTAGTCACTACAAAGGGACCCAATAACAAACCATCCTAGGATTTCACCACAGCCCAAGTTGATGAGAAAAGTGAATTTATTGGGTTTTCTTACAGACCAAAGGGGAAGGGTTACTTACAATTGGGGAACCCCAAGGGGATAGTCGCCATAAAGATCATGGCTCAGGAATTCAGATTCAGGTTACCCAAGTACAGTCTGACAACATGGCAACAATTTCTGGAAGCATTTATAGTTAGAACAACCAATTGATATACATTGTCTAAAAGAATAGGTTTGTAGATTACAGCCAAGGGAAGTCTCTGCTATAGGACTCAGATGTTCTTAGTTGAGGTTAGGGATCTGATTCTCCACTCTAAAAGACATTGTGACATTCTCTCCAGTAAGAAGACTGATGATAACCATTGCTGTCTGACTTTGATGCCTGTTGCTGTGATAAATGCCATGACTAAAACACAACTTAGGAGAGGAAAGGGTTTATTCCAGTTTAGGAATGAATCAACCAGTTCAGTCAGGGCAAGAGCTCAAGAAGGAAATTTTGAGACAGGAACTAAAATAGAAATCATTGAGGAATTCTGCTAACTTGCTCCCTCAGATTTCTGCTTGTCCCCAATACTCATTCACCCAGGACCACCTGCTCAGGGGCAGGACTGGGCATCCATCCAACGACCCATAGACACATCTCTAAGCCAGTCAGATCTAGGTAGCCACACTGCTGAGATTCCCTTAACACAGAGGTGTGAAGTTAAACAGTGACGTTTACAAAATTCTTTGGTGTTGACTGAGATTTGAAATATTATTAAAGTGTGTGACACTGTGACACATTATTTTTATGTGTAGATTCTCTCCGGTTTGAAGTCTCTGAGGATAATTAAAGTATGAAAACCAGCTAAAGGCCTTGTCATAGTCTTTGCATTTCTGGAGTACTCTTTCATGCTTATGCAATGACAAATTACAGCTAAACACCTGGCTATATTCTGCACATTTGTAGAGATTCTCCCAAGTGTGAATTCTCTGACGTTTAGCATAGGGCTGAATGATAAATGAAACTTTCATAATATACTTTACTGTTGTAAGGTCTCTCTTCAGTTCCAATACATTTGTGTTAACTGACGAAGAACTTTTAAAAGCCTTGACAATTTGTTCACATCTGTAGTGTTTCTCCCCAGTATAAATATTATGGAAGTTACAAAGTGTTGAATTGTTAGTAAAGCCCTTGTCACATTCTTCACTAGGGTTTGACGTCTCTCTATGATGGATTCATTTGAGTTTGATAGGGCCTGAATGGTAAGTAAAGGCTTTGACACATCCCTCACACTTGTAGGGTCTCTCTTGCAAATGAACTCTGTGATATTTTTAAGGACTTTTCCAGCATTTTCCCATGAATAGTGTTTCTGAATAGAATGAACTCCCTTGTGTTGGGTAAGGTTAAAAAGTTTAGAAGAAGCTTTTCCACATTTGTGGACTTTCTCACCAGTATGATTCTTTTGATGTCCAGAAAGTTCTAAGTGAGCACAAAACTTTCCTGTAGTCCTCACACTTGTGTGATTTCCCTCCAGCATGAGTTAGTTGGTGTTCCTTCAGGTTCGGAGGATAGAACACATTTTGCAACATTCCTCATATGGATAAGATTTCTCTCTAGGAATTTGTCCCAAGGTAAGGACTGATAAGCTAAAAGCTTTTCCATGTCCTTCACTCCTGCAGGGTTTTATCCAGAATGAATACTCATGTGTGTAGCAAGTTCTAAGTGAGCACTAAAGACTTTGCCACACACTTCACACTTGTAGGGATTCTCTTGAGAGTGAATTCTTTGATGTTCCTTAAGGCGAGAAGGATAGTAAAACATTTTACCACATTCCTCACACTTGTAAGGTTTCTCTCCAGAGTGGACTACCTTGTGCTGAGAAAGGTATGAATGAGTGGAGAAAGCCTTCCCACACTGCTCACACTTGTAAGGTTTCTCTCCAGTATGAATTCGCTGGTGTCTGGAACGTCCTGAGCGAGTGCAGAAGTCTTTGCCACATTCATCACAGCTGTACGGTTTCTTTCCAGAATGGATTGCCTGGTGTTCCCTAAGGATTGAAGGGTAGTAAAAGGTTTTGCCACACTCCTCACATTTGTAAGGTTTCTCCCCAGTGTGACCTAACTTGTGCTGTGTAAGGTATGAGTGAGTATAAAAGGCTTTGCCACATATTTCACACTTGTAGGGATTCTCTTGAGAGTGAATTCTTTGATGTTCCTTAAGGCGAGAAGGATAGTAAAACATTTTTCCACATTCTTCACACTTGTAGGGTTTCTCCCCGGTATGAAATCTCTGGTGTTTGGAAAGTCCTTTGGGAGTACAAAAGACATTGCCACATAGTTCACACTTGTAGGGATTCTCTTGAGAGTGAATTCTTTGATGTTCCTTAAGGCGAGAAGGATAGTAAAACTTTTTACCACATTCCTCACACTTGTAAGGTTTCTCTCCAGAGTGGACTACCTTGTGCTGAGAAAGGTATGAGTGAGTGGAGAAGACCTTTCCGCACTCCTCACACTTGTGGGGTTTCTCTCCAGTATGAATTCGCTGGTGTCTGGAACGTCCTGAGCGAGTGCAGAAGTCTTTGCCACATTCATCACATCTGTACGGTTTCTTTCCAGAATGGATTGCCTGGTGTTCCCTAAGGATTGAAGGGTAGTAAAAGGTTTTGCCACACTCCTCACATTTGTAAGGTTTCTCCCCAGTGTGACCTAACTTGTGCTGACTAAAGTATGAGTGGGTATAAAAGGCTTTGCCACATATTTCACACTTGTAGGGATTCTCTTGAGAGTGAATTCTTTGATGTTCCTTAAGGCGAGAAGGATAGTAAAACTTTTTGCCACATTCCTCACACTTGTAGGGCTTATGGCCAGTGTGAACTATCTTGTGATGAGAAAGGTATGAGTGAGTGGAGAAAGCCTTCCCACACTGCTCACACTTGTAAGGTTTCTCTCCAGTATGAATTCGCTGGTGTCTGGAACGTCCTGAGCGAGTGCAGAAGTCTTTGCCACATTCATCGCATCTGTACGGTTTCTGTCCAGAATGGATTGCTTGGTGTTCCTTAAGGACTGAAGGATAGTAAAAGGTTTTGCCACACTCCTCACATTTGTAAGGTTTCTCCCCAGTGTGACCTAACTTGTGCTGTGTGAGGTATGAGAGAGTATAAAAGGCTTTGCCACACTCTTCACACTTGTATGGTTTCTCTCCAGAATGGATTCTCAGGTGCTTAGAAAGTTGCCAGCAAGTTCTAAAGACCTTGCCACACACTTCACACTTGTAGGGCTTCTCTTGAGAATGAGTTATTTGATGTTGCTTAAGATTTGAAGAACAGTAAAACATTTTGCCACATTCTTCACATTGGTAAGGTTTCTCTCTAGTATGACCTATCTTATGCTGAATCAGGGAAAGATGACTAGGAAAGGCTTTCCCACATTCTTCACACTTGTAGGATTTTACTTCACAGTGAATTTTCAGGTGTTTCGATACGGAATGGAGTGCACAAAAGGCATTGCCACAGTCTTCACACTTGTAGGCTTCATCTCCTGGAGAAAGCACCGAGCAAGCACTAAAGGCCTTCACACATTCGTCATACTTATAGGGCTTCTCTTCAGTACAAAATGTCTGGTCTTGAGAAAGTTCTATGGGAGAACAGAAGCCCTCACTACATACTTCAATCTTAAAGGAATTCTCTTGGGAATGAACTCTCTGATGTTCTGTAAGGTGAGAAGGACAACGAAACAGTTTCCCACATTCTTCGCAATTATAGAATTTCTGTTCAGTGTGTTCTACTTCGTGCTGAGTAAGACATGAATGAGTAGCAAAGGCTTTGCCACACTCTTCACACTTGTAGGGGTTCTCTCCAATGCAAATTTCCCGGTAGCTAGAATGTCCTGAGCAAGTGCAAACGACTTTGCCACACTCTTCACACTTGTAGGCTTTCTCTGCTGTATCCATTACCTGCTGTTCAGAAAGTACTGAACGAGAGTCAGAAGTCTCACCACATTCTTCACACATGTAGGCTTTCTCATCTGAATGAATTCTCTGGTTTTCAGGGAGTGAGTTCCAATCACAGGCTTTGCCACATTCCTTACATTTATATGGTTTTATATCTGGTGAGCAGAAGTTGAGATATGAATAAAAACTGAGTAACACTCTTAGATTTACAATGCTTACCTTTAATATAGAGACCTTGACTTACATTTTTATAGGTAAATGAGAAATTTCCCAAGCACTGTAATCAGAAAATGCAGTAGTGGAAACAATATAAATTTCCAATGAAATTAAAAGAAAGACCAAATAGAATACAGAAATAATAGAATATTATTAACAGTTAAATAGCAAAGAAGATGTACTATCGATAATAATGGGAACTCTTAACGGTATTATGCTAACAGAAATGCACTCATTAAAAATATATAAATTATATGACCAGATATAAATGAAATATATAAATAGCTAAATGTAGAAACATTACAATAAGAGTGCTTATCTAAGGTTGGAAGAATGTAGAAATACAATATTTATATCCTATAAAGTTTTAATTTGGAAGGCACAAGATAATACTGCATATTAGATTCTCCAAAATACTAAGCATGATATTTCATGCTTTTAAAAACATTCTTCTAGACACGTAAGGTTTTAATCTTTGAAAACATACCCACAAAGGGCATGTATTTTAAATCACTACCACTTGAGTGTATGAGAGAAAAAAACTTCATGAGAACACAGTACAATCATTCATAGCAATTATAAAAAGATTTAAATTATCATACATGTAAGGGACGTGAAATTTATTTGTGATTATATTGTATTATAATGGCTTCAAATGTCTTTAAACACGTGCAAATTTTCATAGGTGTAGGAAAACAGTTAAAAGTCTGTTACAATGCAGACTCTCAGCAAAATGACAAACTCTGTTCGTCAGTGTAAACACAAGCAGAACTCTGGGGGGAGGGCAACAAAGCTTAGACACTTAGAGCATCATATGCGAATGAATGAACGAATGGGAATACCTAAAAACTGATTTCTATCACAACATAACATCTCAGTGCATAGGTAAGGCCTGGCTATCTGTTAGAAATCCCACTCTGTCCTCCGACCCCTCATCCTACACACCTGGGTGCATGGTGGCAGCATCTTGTCTCTTCACATCTGTTGGCTCTTGTCTTTGCTCTAGAAATGTGACCAGGTATGGCTTAGAGAAAGCAAGTCCTGTTTGTCGGAAAAGAAAACAAGATGGTTTGTGTGTCATTCACCTGGGAAATAACATGTTTATTCCAGGATTGTGCTCTTGGGGAAAATAAAGGATACATTCAGCTTCATTTCCTTCATTTGAAAAAAAAAATTAAAACTTAAGGGTGCGCCTTATATCTATGAATTTCTAGCATTACCACTAGAGTAAAGGATACTTTTAAGACACAGCCAGGTTGAAAAAACTAGAGAGAGAGAGAGAGAGAGAGAGAGAGAGAGAGAGAGAGAGAGAGAGAGAGAGAGATTGTCTTAGTTACATTAATAATCTCCCTAGCTGTTCCTTAGGTGCAGGTCCATGACCATCACTGTTGGAAACTACAAGCTCCCTTGAGATGTTTTATAAAAGGAATTTAATGTTGACCTTGAGTTAAGAATTCATTTTGAGTCAGACATGGTGGCACTTAATACCAGCACTCAGGATACAAAGGCAGGGGGATATCTGAGTTTGAGGTCAGTCTGATCTGTACATAGTTCCAGGAAGTCAGGACTACATAGAGACCCTGGCTCAAAAAAACAAAACACCCACATATATACACAGAATAGAATTTACTATAGATGCAATCCTCACCCAGGAACACAAGGTTGCTGTAATTCTCCAACATCACATCCCTGTACAGATTCCACTGAGCGGGGCCCAGGCATTCCCACTCCTCTGCAGAGAAATCAATGGCCACATCCCTGAATGACAACATTTCCTGAAATAAGAACAAATGAATAATAGATTATATTAATTAAAGTCAATAACATAGATACCAATAGGTATCCCATGCTTATGCATACATTCTTAGGGAGTATAGTAATAACAATACTTTGTTAATTTTTGTTTTGTTTTGTTTTTAAGAGACAGGGTTTTTCTGTATTGTTTTTGAGGCTGTCGGTCCAGCCCAGCCTCGAACTCACAGAGATCCGCCTGCCTCTGCCTCCCGAGTGCTGGGATTAAAGGCTTGCACCACCACCACCCGGCTTACTTTGTTAATATTTAAAATAATTAGATATCACTAACATTTTTATTTTCCCCTTTCCTGTTTTCTGTTTATCTTTATCAAACATGTATCTGTGTATTTACCATATTCATAAACAGCTGCTGAACTTATGACATCAGCTTGGTGTGCTGATCAAGAATTATAATTTGTTATTCTAATTACTATTTTCCCTTATTTATTTATTTATTTATTTATTTATTTATTTATTTATTTATTTTGGTTTTTCGAGACAGGGTTTCTCTGTGGCTTTGGAAGCTGTCCTGGAACTCTCTTGGTAGTCCAGGCTGGTCTCGAACTCACAGAGATCCGCCTGCCTCTGCCTCCCGAGTGCTGGGAATAAAGGCATGCACCACCAACGCCCGGTTTATTTATTTATTTATTTATTTATTTATTTATTTATTTATAGCATTTTGGTGCTGTATTCCTTTTCATCTCATTGCATGAAGTTCTCAAATGGTCAATGACAACTGTACATTATTTTTTCTTTCTATGGCTAAGTAATAGAAAATCAGAGATTTGCAAGTTAAAGGGGGTATTTTGTAATATTGTTACAGGTAGACTCTGCATTGTCTTTATATCACTTTTGGAATGATTATTTCTTCAATGGCTTATAATTTTTAAGTTTAAAATGTTCAAAATCCTTAGGCCAGGTGTGGTGGTAGGCACCTTGAATCCAGCACTTGAGAGGCAGAGGCAAGTGGATCTCTATGAGTCCCAAACACCCAAAGCTATATAGAGACCTTGCCTCAAAAAATTAGAACAAAACAAAACAACCTCTTTTCTAATCTTCTGTAATATATAATACAAAATAATGGACTTGGAGTCACCATTTGGGCAACATTACCCATAAGCTTGTTCCTTCTATCTAAATGTATAGGAGTACTGACTGATCAATATTTCTCAATGCCTACCTTTCCTGATGTCACTGACTGATGGGAAAAGCCATTATTTCTCCAACTTCTGTACGTTAAAATTCCTTTAAACCTAATGTATGTCTGAGATCATGTGGTACCTGTCTTTCTGTATCTGAAATAATATAGGCTCTTCCATATTTACCCAAATTACAGGATTTCATTGTTTTGTGTGACTGAACAATTTCACAATGTAAACATGTGCACCCCAATTTCACTGTAAAAAACATATAAATTATAGAACTTAGTTTTCAGCAATGTTTGAGTAACCTCAAAAATCACTTAAAAGGGAATATAAAGTAAAATTCAAGTATTCATGCTAAAAGAATATTGAGATCAGTTTTGTAATGAAATAGGCAAAGGAAACCATTGAAGGGTCAGAAAAACAAACCTAGAAAATAATATTTACGCTTGCTGCAGCATTAGTAAAAGCAGGAAGTAACCTTAGTCAGCATCCAGAAGTGTGTGCAGCTCTGACAAGAGGAAATGTACAACTGTGTAGAGCATGAATCATATAAGGATGGTACTTTTGTTCATTTTAATGATGCTACTGGGGTACGCACTTAAGAACAAGAATGACCTAGTTACTGATTCCTGTGTTACTCCTACTTACTTATGATTGCTTTTGAGCTTCCCTTTATAATTTTATTAATCTGACAACTTTCTGCTAATCATTTCCCTTTACTGCATGGATTCCATGTATGAAGCCAACTTGAGTTGTTCAGGAAAAGCCATTTTGCTCTGCTTGCCACACAGTACTCGTACTCGTGTGAACCAGTAAGGCATGGTTTGGAGGATAGCCTCCAATTTCCCGGTTCCTTTCTCAGGTTGTGAAGAATAGAAAGGCATTCAATTTCTTATAACACACTTGAAAGTCCTATAAATTCAAGCTCAAGATGGGTGTTCACTGTTATCCAAAGGCCAGACATCAGTAAGCATTATAAAATACAAACTGGAAATGAACCAAATAAAGGAAAACAAAACATCCCAAAGATGCCATGAACACCCTAATTGTGTTAATGACCTAAAGGAGAATTCAGACAATTAAACAAAAAGGTAGATAATCTCTGCATACACAGAAAAATAAGAATTCAACCATGCAATAAAATATGAAATGCACAGTGGCGTGGCAACCAGTAGGGAGAGGACACTAGAACGGGTCTGGCAGAAAGGAAGCCTCAGCAAACAGGAAGCCTGCCAGAGGTTAAGAGCATGAAGAAAAGGTATTAACAATACTGAAGGCTTGTGGAGCGTCTCAACAGGTAAAAGCACCTGAAGTCCAGTCTAAGGACCTGAAGTAGATCTCTGGTACCATGATTCAATGGATCTTGAATTTCTTCCTGCTTAGACACAGCATGGCATGTGATCCGAAACATACACACAGACACAATGAGGAAAGAAAAAGAAAACACAGACAGGAAAAAGAGAAAAACCAACCTGAGGAGAGCGTAAACGATTTACGGAACACTAGACTCAGAGTAAATGAAAAGGAGACCAGAATGAAGGCACATGCCTGTCAGGTTAGTTCTTGGATGGTGTAGGTGTTCAAGGCCAGCATCATCTGCACAGGGAGTTCACGGCTAGCCTGTGATATGTGAATATGTCCCTTATGAAAAGAACCAAAAACACAGAAAAGAGAAAACTATTTTTAAGGTCTTTAAGCTTACATTATGTGAGATAAATGTTGGACACCAATAAGACTCCCACCAAACTCCAAGTCCAGACAACCCTGAAGAATCACAGAAGGCTCAGCAAGTGGTGTGAGCAACAATTCTGACAGGAAAGGGAACAGTGGCTCCTCACTGAAGGTGCTTCTGTAAAGTCCTCACTAGGTTATCCCAGCAGAAACAGCAGCTGGGAAGCTGAGGAAAGATAGATACCTCACACACAGTGCATGGAAAAGAACTACATGAATACATAAACAAAGCCTCCTAACTGTTCCCTAACAGACCAGAAGAACAGAGAAGGCCACAAAACCAAAGGGTTGTCCCAGTTGGGGAGCTGCAGCAAAAAGAAACCAATACACAGGAAACAGTATTCTAGCAAAACAGCAGAGGGAAACAACTATGAAGAGTCTAACAGACCCTTGGTCATAAACAGAAAGATGAAAGATAACTGGTTAATTGAAAAGTCGGTCTTCTTCATTTCTTTCCTTTCCTTTTTTGGAGACAAGGTCTCACTATGTAGATCTCCATGGCCTGGAACTCGTTATGCAGATGAGGCTGGCCTTAAATTCTCAGAGATTCCCCTGCCTCTACTTCTCCAGCACTGGGATTGAAGGTGTGTGCCACCTAACCCAGTCATTTCTTAAGAAAAGATGAGACTCTCATCCTCCACTGTTCTTTACCTCTGAGATGGCCTCCAGGCAGAGGTGACATTTAATTTTTGAATGGAGGCTGGTCTTAGACACACACCTAGAACAGAATAGAGGAGCAGAAGACGTAAGAACTCTTGCATTGTGTGTGTGTGTGTGTGTGTGTGTGTGTGTGTGTGTGTGTGTGTGTGTCTGTGTCTGTGTCTGTGTCCCGGTTTCTAGATCAACAGAATAGAGGAGCAGAAGACATAAGAACTCTTGCATTGTGTGTGTGTGTGTGTGTGTGTGTGTGTGTGTGTGTGTGTGTGTGTCCTAGTTCCTCAGAGATATTTTGACATAGAAACCTAGCAATCCTCAGTACCAGGAGCTTATAGGGCAGTCAAAGCTAGATGCAAAGAGAGGGCTGGATTCCCAATTAACTTATTAGCTACTAGTGATTCCATCTTTGGACATAGAATGTCTATGTATTAGAGAACATGCTACCTTAAAAACATACCAGGCGTATGATAAAATAGCCAATCCACAGGTCTCTGGCCCAGCTCCTGACCCACAGGCATCTGGCATGCAGGTTATCATTAATTCTTAATCAATTTCTGCAATACTATGTATGACTCAGAGCATATATTTGGAACACTGAATATGGGATGGGAAACCACTGCTAATGTCTTTATTTGAAACATGGACATTTAGACAACATATTTGTTTCTAAAGATGTAAAACATGCTTTATTCTGTATGCTCAATGTGCAAAGGTAACAGTCATTCTTAATATTCAGTACAATGTTACTCCTTGTTACTAATGAAATATTAAGTGCAGTTCATCCTGTAAACAGTTGGGATTCATACTCTCATCCATCTGATTTATTTGTATGTAGCTACCTCAAAGAAGATAATAAATGCATGTATCTAAAAGAATCTGCCAGACAATCTAATACGTAATTTTACTATTCAACTCAAAGTATGTGACTGCATTTGAAAACAACTATGGAAGGACTCAAGGACAGAAATATTAATAAACCAAAGAGAAAATGATGAAAATCTGTGCTTTTCATTTCCATTGCTTGAACACATTTATGTCTCCTATTCAAATCTACACAAATAACTGCTGTATCTTCTCTCCAACATATGTCACATAAGTCACCAGAAAATGAATGTCATCATCCTGCAAACTTTCCCTCTGGAATTTTCCAAGTACAACATTTCTAACACAATGTCACTATATGAGTTTCCAAAGTGAGCAACTCTAGTGAGTCTTTCCCCCATATCATCATTTCCACAAACATTAGAATACAAAGACAAGAGCCTGTAAGGAAAGCAGCAGGTGCATACTGTGGGACATCTGACTCTTCCCTGAGAAGAGGAAGAAATCCCACATTAGCAGCTTACTGGCTGGATGTGCAGGACAGTGGAGGATGTGGCTGTCACTGTCCACACGCAGAGCTGGTGTTTTGTTTTGGCTAACTATAAAGAAATAGGCTACACGCATTTGAACCTGTTGTGTAAAGTGGTCACGTCATTCAAGTTGCATAGCAAGAGAGAGCCATGTAATCCATGGAGGGCTGCATCAATCACAACCACAGAGTGGAAGATGGGAAAATGATAGATGTCTCAGCTCAGATGGAAAGGAGCACAGACTGCAAGAATTCAGGAGAAAAACAGAAGCAAGCACCATGAGGTCACAACAGAAACTATCAAAGATTAATATCCAAAGGTAATAACTGATCTCTGCAAATAAACAAGGCAAAGAAGACACCTGTTCCTCACACAGCAAGTAAATACAAGCATCTAATCTCTAACACTTAATGACTTTAACAAAAGTATGCTAGTTAGAAAAGTATTAAATTTCATGCCAAACAGTCAACAAAACTTCTCAACCACATGAAAATCAGCAAATGTCAATTGGATGGATTTCTGTCTGGTTGCTGGTGCTAAGTCAGATGACAGGAACCACAAAATGTATTTAGTGCAATCATAAATTATTGTTATAAAGTATTTTGTGATATGGCTCATTTAGCCTAGGCTGACCTTAAGCTCTCTAAGCAGAGGGTAACCTTGTAGGCTGTATTTTCTGCTTCCACCTTCCAGATGCAGATGGCAATGTTCATGGCATCACAGAATATGCTTCAATCGTGTGTGCTTACTTTCGGGGATACATTAACATGAGTTTTTTGGCCCAGCAGGTCCGGCCGCCCTTCTCTGCCCCAATGAAGTACACAGACACTATATTAATTAAGAAACTGTTGGCCACTGGCTATGGCTTATTGGCTAGCTCTGTCTAAATTATTAACCCATTTCTAATAATCTAAGTATTTCCACATGGTATTCTCTTACTGGAGAAAGGGTCCGGACCTGTTACTCCTTTCTCCTCCTACATGGTGACAGACTGTGCCTACTTTTCCCAGAATCCTTCACCTCTTCTAATCCCACCTATCTTGCTTCCCTATTGGCCATGAATAAACTTCACTTAACCTGTACTGAGCCCAGTGAATCTTGATTCGCTCGCAATATGTGAAGGAGTTATAAGTTATAATGAGCATGATGCTGCATCATCTTTACATTGTAAGAGAACAGTTTTGACACAGGGAAAACACAGTTATTTTCCTACAGATCCGTGGCATTATCTAGGAAGCATCTGTACCTGAATTACAGTTTAAAAAAATCCAGAGAATCCTGGTATGTAAGAAAAGATGATTTAAAGACCAGTTCTTTCATTTAAAACTTAGAAATAAAGCATCACACCCTGAAATGAGCCAGACCCAAAGCTGGTACACCTCAGTGTGAACTTCTATGCAGTTAGAACAGCGGTTTGGAATGGACACTGTGGAGCTTCACATTCATTCACTAATTAGAAAAGTTTAACCAAATCTGTTTTTTAAAAGTACCTCGCTTCTTCTTTTTTTTTTTTTTTTTTTGTTTTGTTTTGTTTTAGGCTTTTGAGACAGGGTTTCTCTGTGTAGCCCTGGCTGTCCCAGAACTCTCTCTGTAGACCAGGCTAGCCTCAAACTCAGACATCCACCTGCCTTTGTCTCCCAGGTGCTGGGATTAAAGGCGTGCGCCACCACTGCCTGGCTAAGAAATACCATGTTTAATTTGAGTAGACTTTAATGCCACAAGCCAGTCTCTAGCACATAAACACTTGGTTTTCTTGAAGCATGACAAAATAGGAAACAGCACAAAGGACAGGGCACGGAGCCTAATGTATAAAAATTGCAGGACCCTGAGTGAACCACAGTTCTTCAAATCCCTAGTTTACTTGTTAACACAGTACAAATACTGGGGCAAACCCTTCCAGAAGAACTGCTCAGGAAGAAGCATGGACCCCGAATGCCACATTTGGTGACAGTTTTAGAGAGATTAGACACTAGACAATGGACAACGACAGAAGGAAAGCGTGTGGTTAGAGAGTAAGTAAACAGATTGTTGTGTATGCAGGACGATTTCTCCTTCCCAGAGAAACTCGAGCACCTACGTCCCTTTGCCAGCAATCCCTAGACACACTTACACCCTCACATCAACTCATCCCGTGATTCTGAAAGGGAATCCAAACCAATGACACCATAATCCCAGTGGAATTGGATGAGGTATTATTATCCTCTAGTATTGTTTACTCTGTAGTGTAGGATCAGTAATTTGTTTTGCAAAACTCGACTCTCTCCCTTTAGGGGATTATTATGGCTGTACGTGGAGTGTCAGTCTCAGGAGTCAGGTCACAGTGGTGATCGTGAAGAATTTCTATTCAAAACAGCAGTTCGTAAAGTCTAACAATGTATTGCAAAGACAACCAGATTAACATACCATACGCCAATCTCTCGCAAAACTTTCCGTCTTTGGAAACTAGTAACTTGGTGAACTCCTATCATCTCTACAATACTAGGCCAACTATAATAAGGTACAGGAGGGGCCCAACCTCCATTTGCTCCAGGGATTCTGAGAAAACTGACCACTGCCGGGTAAGCGTGGGTCTAAAGCTAGTGAAAACGCGTCCATGGCTCATCTGGAGTGTGTGCGCCCAATGGCACCTCTTAGCCGACCCGCCCTGCATGAGCAATCCTGGATTTTCCACCCTTCCCTGCCAAGCCAGCCGTGATAACAGAAGCTCACGGTGGACCCAGGCGGCCTCCCCCAGCTAGCAAAGCATTCGCTTCCAGCGCCACCCGCACGCCCCCTCCCCAGCCCCAGCGGGCATCCGGATGCTGTGGCCCAGCCCAGGTCGGTTCTCCCCTCCTGCGCTCGCCCCGAGCCAGACCCGACCACCCTGCTCGGTCGCTCCGACCAGCAGAGTAGCACTGCACCGTGGACCAACCTCCATGTCACAGACCCAAGACGAGCTCTAAACCGGACCCGAGGATCGCCCAACTTTGCCAGGAGACGCGCTGGTGCAGACGCAATGCGGAAGTGCCCTTGCCACAATGGCTCCCGGCGAAGCGGGACGACGGAAGACTACGCTTCCCACAAGTCTGTGCGAAGGGCCTAGGCGCCACCGGAAACGCAGGCTGGGGATTTGAGTGTCTCCTGCTTTTCTTCCCCCTCCGCAAGTGAGGAGGGTAGGAAACAAGCAGGCACTGCGCTCTGAAGGCCACGGGGAGTCGGGCTGGTTTTTTTTGTTTTTTGTTTTTTTTTAAATCCAGGCTTCACTAAGGGAGATGTTTGAGTGTGAGTCGAGCCTTTGATAGTGTTTATTAGGTTTGCAATTTACTGCTGGCCAGTATGTGGCAATTCAAAACTCTAAGTCTACTTATTACGGAATCTTACTTCCAGGTGTAAAGTTCACATTGACTCCATTCTACTTTAAAATAACACGGCAAAAAAATTTACAGGGACATGACCACTACGTCTTTAAGATGATTTTTGAATAAGCTTCAGGAACTTGAGACAAAAGGACTCCAAATCAAAGTCAAACGGGGGCAAAGTAAAAGAGACGTGTCTCACAGCACAGAAAGGACTAGGGAACATCTTAGAGACAAAGCCCTTGCCCGTGATCTGGGATGAAGGAGGCTTGGGTATAAGCACACCAAAAGTACAATAAACAATCCTGATCTCCTGTAGTAAAATAAATAACTCATGTGCCACAGCTGGAGGTGGGGGGTGTCTTAGTGTGACCCTTGGAATCCATACAGTTTGTAGTTCATGGGTGAGAGCAAGCAGAGGTGATTTAAAATCATAGAACAAAGTTAAAAATTCAGCTCCCTGGCGTTTCCATGTATAGAATTTTCAGAGTCCACCTAAGAATCTTTCCATATGTCCACAAGCCCCTTCTCCATACATTAATCCATTAATCTAGGGAATAAATTTAATTTCTGTGACTGGTAGCAGAAACCACCACCACCCCCCACTCCGACCACAACCATGGGATAACATTCCTGGCCAATCATCTTCTGTTGTAGAATATATCTCTGCATTAGGTTTTCTATTTCTTCAGTTTCTTTCATCTTCTCTCATCCTGAAATTCTTCCTCTGTTACAGGTTTTTTGTTTTTTTGAGACAGGGTTTCTCTGTATTGTTTTGGAGGCTGTCCTGGCACTTGCTCTGTAGACCAGGCTGGCCTCAAACTCACAGAGAACCTGCCTGTGCCTCCCGAGTGCTGGGATTAAAGGCATGTGCCACCAAATGTATGTCTTCTTCTCTGCAACGATTAAGCACCAGTTTTAATAACTGTTTGGTAACACAAATGCTAATATTTCTATAGTAACACAGATTTCTATAGTATTAGATACAGGAGAATGAATAATACAGCCTCAGTGGTAAACATGAATTGAGTTTGGAGAGGAGAGTGTAAGTTAGAAGTTGCAAGGTGGAGAAATTATTTGTGTTCTACAGGCCCTTAATATTGAAAATTAATAGCTAGGTGCAGGGTATTTGGTCCTTTTTACTCTGCATTTTACCAGAGTGTGTGATGGGAGAGTCCTGTGTATGTGTCAATAAACTACTGTTGGCCAATAGGGAAGTAAGATAGGTGGGACCAGGAGTCTAGGAGGATTCTGGGAAATGTAGTGAACTGAGATGTCACCATGTGATCCCCGGAAAAGAGAACACAAGTCTGGGGTTCTAGAAAAGATAAGTCCATACCATATATATATATATATATATATATATATATATATATATTGATGATTATGGGTCAATACTTAAGTCAGAGTTAGACAACGAGAAGCAATAACAAATGGCCAACAGCTTATAATTGATATAGTGTCCTATGTGTTATCTGGGGGCTAAACTGACAACAAAACCCAGGAAGAAATCCACAGGCATGGCTTCTCCAGATAATACCCACCTCCATCAGCCAACGACCACTTTCTGAGATGATTGTTTATCCAGCACAGCAGATGTTTTCACTTTGCAGTACTGCTCATCTTTACACAGAAGTAAGGGAGCAAGAGCTAAGTCACATTTTATGTAGCTATAGACTGGAAAATCTGCCAGAGAAAATATTAAGTGAAATATTTCAACAGATGTAACTTAATTAGGAAGAGCCTAACCACTTTTGTATTTAAGATAGACTTTCATACAGCCCTGGCCGAACTCACACTCTGTGTAGTTGAAAATCTAGTATTCCTGAAATCCCTGCCTTTAGTCTCTCATTGATGAGATTATGAACCAGTAACACCATACCAGGATATCATAACTTTCTCTATTTGGAGGTTAAACAGTTGTGAGCTGCCATGTGGATACTGGGAATTGAACCCAGGCCTTCGGGATGAGCAGTCACTGCTCTTAACCACTGAGCCATCTCTCCAGCCCCATTGTTTCTATGCTTAAGATATTGTACTCATAGAGCTCATTTTTAAAAGGTTATGTGAAGTTTTAGTCTTTGAAAGCTGTTTAGGATATTAAGTAAATACAGATTAGTAGTTAGTCATCCATAACAGTCAAACTTAGAGTCATGTTTTTTAGATGTTGTTTTCAAGATCATACAGAAACATATTTTAGATAGACGAGTGACCTTCAAACACTTCAAAGACCTACAGAATCTGACATTTAAAATGTTTTAATAACAAAGCTTTTCTTGACAGTGAGACTTGTCTGCTCCTGGCAGCACCAATTTACTTCAAAGAAGATGATGGACATGAAAGAAACTCCTTATGGGGTTTGTTTTTTTATGGCAAAAGCCAGCCAGTTGGGAAAGGAAAATGCCCTTGCTTCAGTTGCTGACAGTATATTGTCCAAACTGGACGAGTAGGATGCAAAACAGTAGCCGTGCAGGAGGGGCATGCTCTAATGATTTCCAGCAAGGCCACATTGGGTGCCAGATGATAAATGATTTCTTTGCCATTTAATATCTAGCAAAATCTGTGCACAAATATTAACAGATAAATGGTATTGAACCTGTACAGAGTCACAAGCCAGCCCTTATACCTACCTTTGCTCGTTCCTCACTCAAAAAGACTACTTCTTCCTTGGTCACATCTATCCCCAATGAAAACCCCGCCTCTTGAACCAAAATGCTCCTCTCAATTGGCTAGCGCACCAGTGACAGAATTCCCATAAGCACTGAAGAAACCTTATATGGAGTTTGCCTTTGTTGTGGCAAGGCTAGCCACTGGTCAAAGAAACTCTTCTTGCGTTGGCTCCTGACAGGGTGGTGTACAAACAGGACAAGCAAAATACGCACACAAGAAGACTGTCAAGATTTTCCAAGATAAAGTAGGACAGTCCTTTAAAATTCCTGCTTCATAGAGGAGTCTGCCAGATATTCTAGGCCTATGGGCCAAAGATCTGGATGCAGAAACTGCAACAGAGGCATTCTGAGAGGCTGGATCACCTGGGCTACTTGTCTTCATTAATGTCTGGTACTAAAAACATAATCTTTAAAGATAAAATACATCTGTATTAACACAAGTTTGGAATGTGTGGTATGCACAAGTACCTTAAAGATGATTCTTTGTTTTATATTTGAGCAGTTAAAAGTCATCTGTTAACTTTATGAATTTGTTTGGACTCTATAAGGAAACCTGTATCTATGTCATATGAAAGGATAGCATGTAATAAGTCATGAACCAAAAAGATTTATCATTACTCATACAGTCTCAAAGCTGTTCCCGTAGTAGAGGGATCTGTATATATGTCACCTGTCCTGTAGTCTTTCTTAGTTTCCCTTTCACATCTGCAACCAAGATTTTCAGGTGGTCTCCCCCAATCAAATCTGATCTTCTTCAATTTTGGAGAGAACCATTACCTTTTGCTTCCTGCAGAAACAAATGCATAACCTCTCCCCCAACCCAACATATTTTCTGACTTCCATTTTGAAATTAAGACATTCTTAAAATATGTAGGTTATTTTAATTTAGCAGTTTCCACAATACAATGTCTCTCAGCAGCTATTGTTTTGTACATTAGCATTTAAAAAATTCAAAGTCAACTAAGTAACATATAGGATCCAGACACCCTGTATAGTTCCCATCTTTATGTAGCTTATTCTTGTTATGTTACTTTATTCTTCCTCTAAAGACTTTATTATTTTTAAACTGTTTTTATTTCTATGACTGCTCATACCAATTTTCATTTCTTCCTTTAGCATATAAGCACATTTTAAAATATACTGTTCCTTTTTAAACGTTTTCTGGTTTTGGGCCTCACTTAACTAAGTGCAGCATTCTCTGAACATGTGAGACAAATTTTTTTTTTTTTTTGGTTTTTTGAGACAAGGTTTCTCTATGGCTTTGGAGGCTGTCCTGGAATTAGCTCTTGTAGACCAGGCTGGCCTCGAACTCACGTGAGACAAATCTTAAACCGCCTTGTCAGCCACCCTGAGGCTCAGCTTATCATATGGCACTCCCACATGGTGCTGGTGGCTGTCTCAGGCCCACAGGCAGCAGCCAGCAGCCCCATCTCTGCATGCTGAGCACTGTCCATCTGAGAGACTGCAGAACTCAGAATCTATATCCAGCTCCTTGTCCAGAACTTTTCTTAGCTCTCTCAGGCCCTGTGTTTGGATATTCAAGACCCTACGTGTGGTGGTATGTAGCAGCACTTTTCTTCGGGTAGCCAGTTCACAAATAACAATAAGGAGACTTATTAATTATGAAACTCAGTTTTAGTGCAGACTTGTTCCTAACTAATTCTTATAACTTAAATTAACCCACATTTTTAAATCTATGTTCTATCACATGATTCGTCACCTCATCTCTCCATATTACCTGTCCCGCTTCCTCTGCGTCTGGATGGCAACTCTGGTTTTCTTCTTCACAGTGTCCTCTCTGTTCCCCGAAGTTTGCCGGGGTCTGGCCTGTAGCAGTCCTACGCAACAGGGGTCATCTATCTTGGACTGATGTCTTTGGGGCTGTGCTGGGAACCAGTCGGACAGCCCTGGGTTCGACCCAGAGGTGGGGGGGGATATGGATCAGGGAAATCCTAGCTACCTAACAGCTTTAAGAACATGGGGCCCAAAGTGGGGCCTGAGTACGGGGGAAAGAAGTGATGAATACCACAGAGGAGTGGACACCGCAGAGGGGTGGAGATTGAACGTCCCTCCGTTGCCCCAACTCAGGACACAGAAGTGATTCTTGCTTGAATATAAAGGTATGAGAATTTTATATTCTGCTGAGAATATAAAATCAGGTCATTGGGATAATGACACTAGACTGGCACTTTGGAATAAACAGTCCTCCTGCCTTTTCTTGGGATATTTTACCATTGTACTGCTCATACCTGAGACCAAAGTGTGAGTCAGAAGAGCTCATGCTCAGGTGACGAATGACAGTCCACAAGGAAGCTATCACTATTCCCAAAATTCTTGAGTGTGAACAGCACGCTTACTTTTTTCATCACTAAACAACTCATGCCTCCTTCCTCACCTTTTCCTCCTATGTAATGATTGAGCCTACTTTAAAGTGGCTATTTGATGACACCAATACCAGTATTTCTGTTGTATTGGGAACAACAGATGAATTATGCACTCGTTGTGGTAAATAGCATCAGAATCCTCTGGAGTCTGGGAATGATCAGTGTCTTTGTAGAAGCCCTCATTAATAAAAGATGTGGTCTTGTGTGGTGCCTGCACCACGAGCAAGTCTAATGGATCAGGCAAAAACCTGGAGATCTAAATGAAAGACATGACATCAAGCTGTTTATGCTAAGAGAATGTGTGTGTGTGTGTGTGTGTGTGTGTATTGCAAGGAGGGAGCAGCTTTACATACAGACTTACAGTTACGTGGAGAAACCCCAGGTGTAAGAGCTCCTGTTTTTATAATTAGAGGTTAATGCCAGTGGGGCTAGGCTGAGGCTGTAAGCCAGGACCAGAAAACAGGATGCACCTGTGGTTATTGGCTGGCAAGCAACTCATAGAGACCCCCTGGGGACTGGGGTCGAACAGTCTTGTGACTATTTCAGGTTGTTTGTGTTTGGTGACAATTTAACAGACTAAAAATGAAATGCATGTAAGTGTCACTTCTCTCTCCATAATGCACAGGTGATAACCCACAGTTGCCCAGAATGCATGCAGTGGATATTTTCACTGCAATAATGTTTATATGTTTATGGGACACATGAAACACACAAGAAAAGTCACATGTCTATACAAATGTGAAGGTGGAATGGTAAAAACTAATGAAAAACATAAATGCAAAAAGTACAATTAATTCTCAAAAACTATAATTCTTTCTTATTCTGGTCTCATGTACCCCAGATTTGGCTGAAATTTCCTGTGCAATCCTGGATGACCTTGTACTCCCGATCTTCCTGCCTCTCTGCTTCCTAAATGCAGCAGGATTTTTTTGTTTGTTTGTTTTACGAGACAGGGTTTCTCTGTATTATTTTGGAGGCTGTTGGTCCAGCCTGGCCTTGAACTCACAGAGATCTGCCTGCCTCTGCCTCCCCAGTGCTGGGATTAAAGGTGTGCGCCACCACTGCCCGGCTCAGCAGGATTTTAAGTTAGCATCACCACACTGACTTACTATAATAGTCTGTGTGTCTTAGTTTTCTTGTTGCTCTGGTCAGTTGTTTCACAAGCCATTGAGTGAAGGAAAGGGTGATTCTAACCATAGTCTGCAGCTATAGTCTATCTTGGCAGGATGAGATCAAGGTAATACTCTATCCAAAAGAAGCAGAAACATGAATGTAGATGTTTGTTCATGTTTCTTTCCCGTTTATTCTAAACACAAGTCAGTCTAAAGGGGGCAGCTCATAGAGTGTGCTGCCAGCATGTAAGGTGGACCTTCACACCTTGACCAGTCTAGATAGTATAGAAATGCAGACTATAGCATCAGTTGGCCGGTGTGATCCGGACATAGGCCAGCATGAGCTGGGCATAGGCCAGTGTGATCCAGGCATAGGTCAGAATGATCCAGGCATAGGCCAGTGTGATCCAGGCATAGGCCAGCGTGATCCAGGCATAGGTCAGAATGATCCAGGCATAGGTCAGAATGATCCAGGCATAGGTCAGAGTGATCCAGGCATAGGCCAGTGTGATTCAGGCCACCATCCTGTCCAGATTCCTTACCATATGTTATATGCATTTCTCACAGAAGAAAGCTAAAGTGAGTGAGAAGAAAGTTCCCAACTGCCAACATACATACCACTAAATATGAAATGCACATTCTGATACAGTGGCTCTGCGCTGAGGCCAGGCTTCTTGAGCATGCAGGGTTCAGTTTTGATGAAAATGACAAAGTACCAAGGGATAGGAGTCAATAGGTAGAATACTAAAAAAAGAACTCATGAGCAAAATAGAATCAAGTATTTTATCAAATTACAAATTATCAAATATAGTAATGTAAGTATTCTGTGACCATTTAAGATATTTTTCAATTCCTTTATACACGTTGGAAGCTAAACCAGGTGGGGTCTTAACCTGAGAGTGACAATCCCTTTATTTAATTGGGATCTGGCCTCTCTTTACTGTTCTCATCTGTGTCAGTTCAAGCCTTAGCTCCAACATTAAATTTCCAATGGTACATCTAGTAATTCCTTTCACTTAATACATTTAAGAAACGTATTAAGAGTGATTGTTAAGAGCCACACAACAGAGTCAATATTAGGCAGTCTTGAAATATCCTCTGTCCAGGAAATTAATTCAATATTTTCCAACTTAGCCTCAGGAAAGTTTTAGGACAAGGGCTGAAAGCAGCCACATTCTTTGCCAAAACATGTAAGAATGGTCTCCAGCGGAGTTGCTACTATTTTCCCTGTGACAGTTCTTGAGCTGTTCAGTCACAGTCCACTTTGTTCTCCTTACCACTGTTTTCCAAACTCCCAATATGGCCCATTAGGCTCTGTTTACAATCTTCAAACTGCTTTCCTAATCCAAAGTCCCAAAGTCTTCCACATTCCTCCGTAGATGGTCAAGCCTGTCACAGCTGTAGCTCATTCCCTCATATGAATCTCTATCTTAGTGACTTTTCCTTTGCCGTAACAAATGACCATGGCGATGGCAACTTATAATTTAGAGCTTGCAGTTTCAGAACGTTAATGACTGCTGGGGCAAAGGCATGAAGAGGTGAGATGACCCATCTTGATCCACAAGTAAGAAGCAGAGAGAATGACAGAGAAAGACAGAAACACAGGGAGTGGCAGACAGACAGACAGAAAGGCAGAGAGAGAGAGAGAGAGAGAGAGAGAGAGAGAGAGAGAGAGAGAGAGAGAGAGAGAGAGAGAGAGAGAGAGAATCCCACCAACTGGGAACCAAGGATTCAAATATATAACTTCCAAGAGGGCGTTCTCATTCAAATGGGAATGATCTCAAGGCGGATTCAAACAAAAAGTCAGGGAAATAAATGCATGGGTAAGGAAGAACATTAAAAACCAACCATGCAATGAAGTATTCCAAGCACAAAGGATAGAGCTGAAAAGTCCACATTGACTGGCAAACAATAAAAGGTACAACACCAAACTGGTATGATCAGAAGGGTCCCTCAACAAATATGAAGGCCAGTGCAGGTAAGGGAATGAAGAAAAACACTAATGAACAATGAAAGGTCTATCAGACGGCTCAGCACATAAAACCATTTTTCATCCAGCCTACTGACCTGAGGTGCACCCTTCAGTACCACAGTGAAAGGAAAGAACTGATTCTAGAATAAAAAGTTGTCCTCAGACCAGCAGAGTCACACCATATTGCCCCCATATACACACACAACATATAAATTAATGCATAAAGGATAGTAAAGAGTCTCTAAAAGATTTGTGGGATAATAGCACAGAGAATTAAAAAAAAAGGGGGAGACCAAGATGATGGTATATGTCTGTGATCTTAATTCTTAAGAGCAGGAAGGAGGGCTGGGCATTCGTGGCGCAAGCCTTTAATCCCAGCACTTGGGAGGCAGAGACAGGCGGATTTTTGTGAGTTCGAGACCAGCCTGGTCTATAAGAGCTAGTTCCAGGACAGCCTCCAAAGCCACAGAGAAATCCTGTCTCGAAAAACAAACAAACAAAAAGAGCAGGAAGGAGGATTAAGCATTTAAGTCCAGCTTCATCTACATAGGGAGTTCAAGGTTAGCCTATGCTATTTGAAGATGTCACTTGAAAGGGCGGAATACAGAGAGAAAACGGGGAATCGTAATTTTAAGAAACATAGCCTTTAAACTTAATTTGAAGTGATGAACACAAATGAAAAGTTTCAAACACATCCAGTCTAGATTACACAAAATACATTCACACGAGGCTAAGCAAGTGGTTCCTCTTGGCTACTTATTGGCTTATTTATTTATCCAACATGATACAAAGTTCATCTGCGAAGAGGAAATTTTAGTGGAGAAAAATGCCTTCATCGGATTGGCCTTCATGTAATTCTGTGCGGGTATTTTCCTAGTTGATGATTGACGTAAGAGTACCGAGGCCATCAGAAGTACGGAGCCTCGCAGAGCTCTCTGTCCTGGAAACTACGTCTGTAAGGAACTTGTGTCAACTCAAACCAAGAGTTCTGGGTCGACTATAAAATACCGGAGGGACCAGAAAGTCAGCTCGCTCTGGGGGGTCCTGAAAAATGAATGACAGTTGCTATGTGATAGTAGGTCAGCTACAGAGAGTCTGCTTCCCCAGCCCAGCTGGAAAGTGAGCTTCTGGCACAGGCAGTCAGCCGCCCCACCCTGCCCATGTTCCCCATTCCTGAGCTACCAAGGCAACTTTCCTGTCCCCAGGCCTCCAGGTGGATCCAATCTGGCAGAGGCCATTCCTAGCATCATCGGAATCTACCTCTTTGCAGCCTAGGTGAGCACAGCAGGTCCAAGTCAGCTTCTTTCCCCTCCCTGCAGAGCCACCCGGCCGCCCTGCACGGTCTCTCAGACCTGCAGGGCCGCGCTGCACCCTGAACCAGGCTCCATGCCAGAGATGCAGCAGGAACACACCAACTATAAATATCTCCTGACCTTTGGGGAAAAACGAACTTGTGCAGACAGAACGCGCAAATGCAGCGGGCGGAGCTGCTGTGTATGACATCACAGAGAGGGAGACTACATTTCCCACAACTCTGTGCGAAAACCTTTTGGGATTACAAGGTGGTGGGGGTTGGTGACTGACAGAATTCTTCAGTTTCAGTCTTACTGATAGAAACAAGCTGTTTCAGAACAGTTCAGCCCCCGGAAGTCTGCTGTTCTTAAAATCTGGGATTCGGAATGTGAGCGGCTTTTGACAGTAGTTTATCGGGTTTTATAGTTAATCTGGTCGCGTTTTTGGGATGGTAAGAGTATACAGGGCTACTTTTCCTCCCCAGAGACATTCAATAATTCTCCCCTCACAACTAATCCCTACACCCATACCTACCTCACACCAACTCATCTCTCCATTAGGAAAAGGGTCCACACTTACAACACGGCCGTCTCTGAAGGAATGGATGATGTATTATTTTCTAGTACTTTTCACTCCTCTTAATATACTTAACACAGACTCCTGCTGGAGAAAGGAAAGGTCACATTGGCTCAACTTTACTGTGAAATAACGAAGCAAAAAGCTAATGTGGGACTGAGAAGTAACTGCTTCACGTGAATTTGAAGCTTGTGTCTTGCCTGTCATCCCCGCTGCTCTAGGTCTTAGCATTAGGATGCTATCTTATGTGCCTACAAAATCAGTACCCCATGGACAATGTGAAAGACCCCTACCCAGGGGCCCCCTAGGAAAAGAAAAGCAAGGCCAGGCCGTTGCCTAATGAAAGAAACCCTGACCAGGTGTCTCACCCTCAAAACAGGATGTCTGTGATCACTATAGCAGTCATGGGACCCGGATAATAATTGCTGAAGTGTACTGGGAACTTTCATATGACAATACCAGGACACCTAGTCCTTGGCAACTACCCTTGCCCCCAGTTGTGTCTATGATCACCATAGTAGTCATGGGACCAGGATAATAATTGCTGAAGTATGCCTGGGTCTTTCATAAAGTAATACCAGGAAACTTAGTCCGTGGGAACTACCCCTGTCCCCAAGATGAGCCAATGAAATGCCTGTTACTTATGTAACCATTGAAACTCTATAAATATTGTACTCCCTGAAAGCCCGGTATGCTCTGCATCCGAGTTGCAGTAGCATCCGCAGGCGCCTGTGTACTCAATAAATCACCTCTTGCATTTACAGCCAGTGGTCTGGCCCCGGTTCTTGGGCAGAGGATTCGGTTCAGTGCCCGGCGCTTTGATGCCGAGGTTTTTCAAATGATACTAACTTCTTGCTCTATCTTGGGCTGTTTACAGGGCCCCTGATCACACTGTCAATCACCTTTGTATGCTGCCCCTGAAGAAACTCTTTGCAGAAGAGTATTTGGAACAACAAACATCCTTCAGTGCGTTCCCAGTTTGGCCTCTCTCTGTCAAAAGAGTTAGTCCTTTCCAAAAAGATTTTTTCACCTATGTAGTCTAGGGTATGACACCTTTCCTATTGATTCAGGACAGAGGACCAAGATCCCCTTATGGGAACTAATCTCTTTAACAATTCAGAGTTCGCAGTTCCCTTATCTGTCACATTAAACTCATGTGCCCCGTGACTTTTCATGAGGAAAACAGAACAAGTGTCTACTGAACTCAGATAAGACATTAGCCATCAACAATGAAAAGACCCCACTAAAGTGCATCTTCATGAATCAGTGAGTTCACTGGAGGCAGTGGGCTGCAGTATGGTTGAGGGACGTCAACAGGAAAAAGGGTGGCTAAAAGGCATCAGCCACCTTGGGTTTTAGGCTTGTGTTTTTATTCACTGTGCTCCTTAGCTTAATGCCCAAGCCTAACTTGGGCAGGAAGCGGTGTCATGAATCTTGCGATTTGGCATTCCTGACACTTGTTTACATCACGAGTTTCAGTGAGCTTCCTTCCAAGGAGGGAAGTGCTACACAGCACAGTAATACATTTATCCTGGCCATCTTTACATTTTCCCTGTCACTCTACTGTGCTTTTTGTTCTTTGTCCTGGTCAGTGTTCTATTGCTGTGAAGACACACCATGAACATGGCAACTTATAAAGGAAAGCATTTTATAGGGGCTTGCATACAGTTTAGAGATTTAGTCCATTGTCATCCATTTAGTTCATGGACAACATGACATCACACAGGCAGTCATGGTGCTGTCGCAGTAGCTGAGAGTACTGCAGCAGGAAAAGAGATACTCACTGGTCCTGGATTGGGCTTCTGATATCCCAAAGCCCACCCCCAGTGACGTACTTCTTCCAGAAAGACCAAACCTACTTCAACAAGACAACACTTCCTAATAGTGTCACACCCAGGTGGCCAAGCATTCATACCTATGAACCTATGGGAGTCATTCTTATTCAAACAACTGCATTCCCCTTCCTAGACCCCATTGCTTTAGCCATTCAAAGGGCCTGCCTTGGGCTTTTGAAACCTCAAGGACCTCCCTTGACACACTTCCTCCAACAAGTCTGCACCTCTTAATCCTTTTCCAATAGTGCCACTCCCTGATGACGATTAATTCAATGTATGAAACAATGGGGGCAATTCTTATTCAAATCACTACACACCATGGGAAAGTTAAGACAACAGAGCTTGAAGCAGATGGCCATATTCCATCCACAGTAAGGAGGAAGCAGAGGGAGATAGATGAATCATTGCTTTCAGGTTACTCTCTCCTTTTTACACAATCCAGGATCCCAGGCAAACGGATGCATCCACCCAGCCAACAGGTCTTCAGACCTCAAATTAATGAAAATAACCCCTGCAAAGAAATGACTAGAGGCTTGCCTCTCACTTGATACTACATTCTCATTGTGTTAACAATTGAGATTTATGCATCACTTCTCCACCCCTTGAAAGCACAAACACACACCTAAAAACATTCTAAGTTTCTTATGTGATAGTGTACTCACTTATGTATGTATATATGTATGTACATATGTGGGAGCAAACATGGGTCAGAGGACAACCTTGAGAGGTAATTCCTTCTTCTATTTTGTGAGTTCTGGGGACACAAGGAAAGTTGTGGGTCTTGTTAGCAATCAAGTTTCCCCCAACAGATAAGCTAGCTCCAGCTACAGACTTTAAATGACAACGCTCCTTTCCTTGTCCCCAATCTTACATTCATCTTATAAATAAAATAGAATCCAAACTGAAATGTCCACAAAGTACTTCACAATGTGAAGGATTTAAAAGAATCCAAGAAGTATCCAATGTGAGACTCAAGACTCGGCTACACAAGCTCCTACAACCTAAATAAACAAGTGACTATTTGCTCCACACACTGACACAGAACAAAAATGCCATTCTAAGTGAGAACAATCAGAACATAGCACAAAAATATTAGCCCAAAACTGGGAAGGGCAGATACACACTGTGATACCTCCACTTTTGAGAACTGGAACTTCTGCAGGACTGATGTTGACTTCAAAGGACTTAATTTGGCCCCACCCCTCCAGCTTCACCGGAAAGACACATAACCAGGTATGTTCTCCCCATCCTTTGTCATTTTCCTTAGCAGATTCTGTACTTCCCTCCATCATACATCTGGCATCTCCAAAATCTTAGGCAACATAATAATCTGGTTCTTACGCAAATTGATAATCTTAGACTTGAGTAACCTCATGATTCTGACATCTGTAACTCCTTCCTTTCCAGCACATCAAAAATTGATGTCACATTAATCCTAAGCATACCTCCCAATTTTCAACACTCCATAGTAGCAGGGTTGCTCTCCTATACTAATTCCCTCTTATTCATTATAATCTAAGGGGGAGATGAAGTACTTTTGCTATATTCTTGGCCTTCACAAGGTTATTTGAGTTTGGAGTTTATAGTAGTTTCTCTTAAATATTATTTTTCTCATGTTCCATGTGTTTAGATTTGAGTTTCATTTGCTTTCACAGGATTCCTCTACACTATGGTGTTCAACTGACAATAAAGCCTTTATGATATTCTTTGTAACAGTGGGGATTTTCTTTGGTTTGAATACTCTAGTGCAGAGTTAAGGCTGAACAAACCTCAGAGCCTTGTCACATTGTCTCAAGTATGGAGGCTCTGATGATAACAATGGCATAAAGAAGAGTGGAAAATCTTGCCACATTCTCTACTCAGTTCCACATCCGTTGTTGTGATGGAAGCCGTGGAAAGCAACTACGTAGGAGAGAAAAGGGGTTATTTCAGTTCATGGACTGCACTCCATCATTCTTGGAAGCCAGGGCAGAAGAACACAGCTAAAGCGCGGAGCAGCAGGTGAGATAGAAACCGTGATCGAATGGTGCTTTCTCCTCTGGCATCTCTGGCTTGGGCTCAGCAATCTCATACACCAGGGAACACCTGTCCAGGAGTGACACAGCTAAGGGCACTTGCATCATCTAGTGGTCTAGATTTATCTATATGTTAGTGTTCATGACAATGTACAACATACATGCCCTATGGGTCCATAAAACCCACTCGAGACACCATTACATATTGTTTAACTGCGTGAAGTTTATCAGAAGCAAAATCAGATGTATTTGCAAAACTTCACATCAATAAATATTTTTCATTTTTGATAGATTAGAAATATTATTGAAGATTATTCTGCATTATTTGGGTATATCAAGTTTCTCAGTCTTATGACATTTGGAGAACACTTCTGATGTGATAATTAGGTGAAGGCCTTGCCACGATCTTAGCATTTATAGTGCACTTTACCAACATGAACGCTATGATGTGGGTACAGGCATGAAGAACATCTAAACAACTTGCCATAGACTGCCCATTTGCAGAGATTCAAGTGTGGCTTCTTTGATGTACAATAAGGAATGAGTGATAAAACCTTCTCACCACTCTTCACATTTGTATAAATTTGGCTCAGTATGAACACCTTCATGTTGTTTAAGGTTTGAGGAACTTGCAAAGGCATTTTCACACTCTTCACAGTTTTGTTGTTTCTCTCCAGAACAAATTCTATGGAGGACACAGATGTTGATTGAATGATAAAATTCACTGTATTCTTTATCACTGTACGGCTGCCCTTTACTATTGATTCTTTTGTGTGGGTAACACCTGAGTGATTCCAAAGGCTTTACGACATTCCCCACATTTAGAGGGCTTCTATACAGTGGCACCTGCACCCACCATGAACAAGTCTAATGTATCCAGCGAAAGCCTGGAGATTTAAATGAAAGACAAGCCACCTGGCCTTTTGTGCTAAGAGAATACGTGTGTGTGTGTGTGTGTGTGTGTGTGTGTGTGTGTGTCTGTGTCTGTGTTTGTGCTGCAAGGAGGGAGCAGCCTTGTATACAGACTTATAGCATAGTGGGAAAACCCCAGGTGTTTTCATAGAGGTTGATGCCAGTGGGGCAAGGCTGCGGCTGTAATCCAGGACTAGAAAACAGGATGCACCTGTGGTTACTGGCTGACAAGTAACTCACAGAGACCCCATGGGGGCTAGGGCCCAACACTATACAGCATGAATTTTTTGATATTTTTTAGGGTTTCAAGTAGCGTAAACATTTTATGAACATTTTAAGATTTGTACTATTTCATTCCAATATGAACTACCAAGTGTTGAGAAATATTAGAAATATCATTAAAGGGTGTGTAACATTATTCACACTTCTGGCATTAATGTCCAGTAAGAATTATCAGGCATTTCAAAAGTTCTTAGGGAGTACAAAAGATCTAGGCACATCTCCACACTTGTGTGGTTTCTCTCACAAATGAATTCTTCGATGTTGCTTAAGACCAGAAGACTGGTAATAGCTTTTACCACATTCTTCACACTTGTAACGTTTCTCTCCAGTATGGATTATCCGGTGTTTAGAACGTGCTGTAGAACTTCTAAAATCTTTGCCACATTCTTTACACCTGTAGGGTTTCTCTCCAGAATGAATTCTTTGATGATCCTTGAAGTTTTTCGTATTGTTGAGCACTTTGCCACACTCTTTACATTTGTAAGGGTTCTCTACATTGTGAGTTAATTTGTGCTGACTTAAGTATGATTTTGTAGAGAAGGCTTTTCCACACTCCTCACACTTGTAGGGTTTCTCTCCAGAGTGGGTTATTAAGTGAGCAGAAAGAATCCGGGAAGTCCTAAAAGCCTCACCACATACTTCGCAATTGTAGGGTTTCTCACCTGTATGACTTCTTTTGTGTTCAGAAAGTGATGATGGACAATAGAAGACCAGACCACATACTTTACATGTGTAGTGTTTCTCTCCTGTATGAATTCTCTTGTGTTTAGAAAGCAATGATGGACAACGGAAGGCTTTGCCACATACTTCACAACTGTAGGGTTTTTCTCCCGTATGAATTCTCCTATGTACAGAAAGTACTGATGAAGTACTGAAGACCTTGCCACACACTTCACACTTGTAGGGTTTCTCTCCTGTATGAATTCTCTTGTGTTTGGCAAGTAATGATGGACAATGGAAATCCTTGCCACACTCTTCACACCTATAGGGTTTTTCTCCTGTATGAATTCTCTTGTGTACAGAAAGTAATGATGGAAAGCGGAAGGTGTTTCCGCATATTTCACACTTGTATGGTTTCTCTCCTGTATGAATTCTCTTGTGTTTAGAAAGTATTGAAGGATAATGGAAGGCCTTCCCACATTCTTCACACTTGTAGGGTTTCACTCCTGTGTGAATTTTCTTGTGTACTGAAAGTAGTGATGGAGCACAGAAGGCCTTGTCACATACTTCACACTTGTAGGGTTTTTCTCCAGTATGAATTATTTTGTGTTTACAAAGTACTGATGGAACACGGAAGGCCTTGCCACACTCTTCACACCTATAGGGTTTCTCTCCTGTGTGGATTCTCCTATGTACAGAAAGCAATGATGGAGCATGGAAGGCCTTGCTACACACTTCACACCTGTAAGGTTTTTCTCCAGTATGAATTCTCTTGTGTTCAGAAAGCAATGACGGAAAACGGAAGGCCTTGTCACATACTTCACACTTGTATGGTTTCTGTACTATATAAATTTTCTTGTATTCAGAAAGTACTGTTGAAAAATGAAAGGTCTTACTATCTACTTGACAATTGAAGGGTTTCTCCCTTGTATGAATTCTCTTGTGTTTATTAAGTAATGATGGACCATGGAAGGCCTTAGCACATACTTCACACTTGTATGGTTTCTCTCCTGTATGAATTCTCTTGTGTTCCCTTAGCAATGATGGAACTCGGAAGGCCTTCTCACATTCTTCACACTTGTAGGGTTTCACTCTTAAATGAATTCTCTGATGCTTACTAAATTTTGATTTCCAATCAAATCCTTTTCCACATTCTTTGCATGTATAGCACGTTTTCCCTGGTGAGCAAAAGGTGAGAAATGAATGAAAGCAGAGAAACATTCTTTATGTTCACAGTGCTTATTTTTAAAAGTAGAAGCATATGTTCACTGTAACATGAACTTTCTGGCCCGGCAGGCCCTGCCGCCACTTCAGCCCCAAATGAACACAAAGATACTATATTAGTTATGAAACTGTTGGCTGGTGACTAGTGTTTCTTATTGGCCACCTCTGTCTTAATTATTAACCCGTAACTACTAATCTATGTATTTCCACGTGGTCTTATCTTACCGGGGAATGCCAGACTTGCAACTCCTTTGCCTGCTACATAATGACTGCTCAGTGTCTCTGCAGAGAGGATATTGATTTCCTGATTGTCCTCTGCTTATATGCCAGTTCTGCCCAGCTATATCACTTCCTGTCTGGCAAATCAGCCAATCAGTGTTTTATTCATTAACCAGTAAGAGAAACAAATATACAGAAGAACATTCCCCATCATCTCCTCTTTTCTATCTAATAAGAAAGGTTTTAAAATTAACATAGTCAAATTTTAAATGACAAAAGAGTTATCAAGTAAGAACTGTAGTTACATTATGGGTTCAGTGCTCTCACCACTGCAGCCCAGCTAGCTCAGTCAGGAGAGCATGAGACTTAATCTCAGGGTCATGGGTTTGTGCCCCATGCTGGGTGCCATTTTGTTGCACGCATTCTTCCTGCCAGCCTGGGCCCACTGCCACATCAGCCCCAAATGAACTCACAAGATTTATATTAATTATAATACTGTTGGCTGGGGACTAGGGCTTCTTATTGGCTAGCTCTGTCTTAACTATTAACCCATAACTATAGATATGTATAACTACATGATATTCTCTTACTAGAGAAAGAATCTGGACTGTTATACCTCTTGCATCCTACATCATGACCCTCTCTGCCTACCTTTCCCAGAATCCTCCTCATCTCCTAGTCCCACTTATCCTGCTTCCCTATTTGCCAACAGTGCTTTATTCATCAACCAATAAGACAAACATATACAGAAGACATCCCCATCAATAAACACCTACATTTTTTCTCTTTTTTTTGATCCTATCATACTGCTGACTGCCTCAAAGTATTTTTGTCTTAAAGACAACTTTAATCATTTCTCATATGATTATATTTTGTGTCAAGTCAATTCTTCCTTTTAGCTCAAGTTTCATGAAACAATGCTAAATATCCTGCATTAACTATACCTTGCTCAATTTTTTTAAAATTTATTTATTTTTCAGTTTAAATTTAGATTAGAAACAAGGTTGCTTCACAAGTCAGTTCCAGGTCCCTCTCCCTTTCCCTCCCCTCCTCCCGGGCCCTCCCTCAACCCCCCCCCATTATCCCCTCATTTCCCCAGGGAGGGTGAGGCCCTCCATGGGGCTGTCCATAGTCTGTCATTTCATCCAGGGCAGGGCCTAGACCCTCCCCCAAGAGTTCAAGGTGAGAGTGCATCTCACATTGTTGGATGGGAGTCCAAAGTCCATGTGTATACTCGGGATGAGTACTGATCTACTGCCCAAGGCTCAATAGATTACCTAGGCCTCCTCACTGACACCCACATTCAGGGGGCCTAATCAGTCCCATGATGGATTCCCAGGCTGATGCCTGGGATTCAAGAGTTAACCTTTGTCAGGTCAGCTGTTTCTGGGGGTTAAACCAGCCCAGTCTTAATCCCTTTGGTCATCAGTCCTCCCTCTCTGTTACTGGCTTTCTTGAGTTCAGCTCAGTACTTAACTGAGGGAGTCTGCCTCTTCTTCCATCAGCCACTGAATGAAGTTTCTGTTTCCCAGACTCTCTGGCCATTGGATTGTAGGCTGGCACTCCCAAGATCTATGTCTAAAATCCATATATGAGAGAGTACATGCCATGTTTCTCTTTTTGTGACTGCATTAACTCACTCAGGATGGTTTCTTCTAGTGCCATCCATTTGCCTGCAAATCTCAGGATTCCATTGCTTTTTTTTCTGCTGAATAGTACTCCATTGTGTAAATGTACCACATTTTCTCTATTCACTCTTCGGTTGAGGGGCATCTAGGTTGCTTCCAAGTTCTGGCTATTACAAATAATGCTGCTGTGACCATAGTGGAACAGACATCTTTGTTGTATGAATGGGCATCTTTTGAATATATGCCTAAGAGTGGAGTTGCTGGGTCTTGAAACACCTACATTTTCTTATATAAATAATAAGCTGCATTCAACTTTCTATACCTGTATCTAATAAAGTCCAATTTAAAACACACGATTGGTCATGTGAGCTTCCATTAAAGGAAGAAGACCATGACAACATATGGAAACAAAGGAATATTAATGAAAGTCAATCCTGTAAAAATGGCAGAACAGTAACAATTAAGAAAGTCCTTGAGGGAGCTGGGATTGACATGTGAAACAAGCTTGTTTCTAACTTAAAAAAAAAGGAAGAAAGAAAAAAAAAAGAAAGTCCTTAACACAATTATGCTAATGGAAGTTAGCCCCTTAAACAAATATAGACATTTTTGATTACATAAAAATAAAGTATAGTTCAAACTTCAAAACAACTCTAGTCACACACTATATATATGTTCTTTATAGGGATTTGGTTTTTGAAGTTATTAAAATTAAGCTGCAGAAGAAGACTGTACATAATAACATTACTTAATACATGTCAAAGATTCAAGAAAGATAAATACCCAAGTTAAATCTCCCATATAAATGACAGATTTTGGCCGTCACTGTAAACACAAGCTAATCTCATGGTAGGAAGAAAACAAAGCTTACGAGACTCAGATCATCCTAAACATCTGACAGGTATTTCTCTTTGACAGAAGAAGATCCTTAAAAATTGATTTCCAGCAGAACATTTTGTATTAATGTTCAAGAGAAAATCTGACTCTCTGTTGGATCTCTGAACCTCCAGTCTGTTCTCTGCCCTCCCCCATTCCTACATACCTGCTTGCATGACAGCTGCTGTTTGTCTCTTCACATCTGAAGGCCCTTGTCTTTGCTCCAGAAATGTGACCAGGTATGGCTTATAGGAGGCAAGACCTGTTTGTGGGAAGAGAGAACATCATTGTTTGTGTTTTCAAATGGGAGTAGCATGTACTCTCCAGGACTCTAGAGGACTACTTCTTCATGAGTTTCCTGATAGGCCACATTAGAATGCTTAGAATGAATTTAGGAATGGTTGGTCCTGAGATTCAGTTACAATGAAAAATAATAAAACTGAACTGTGTGCCAGTCTCTTTAGCTTATGTCACCCCTGCTCATGCTACTTACTTTCTAATATTAACATTTATATAAAGGATATATTTAAAAGGTGGAGGGGAATTATGAATACAAGAAGAAAAAAACAGTTCTAACGTATATGAATAACTTTAATTTTCCTTAAAAGTAGCACTATGAACTTCATTGTTGGAATAACAAGCTCCCAGGAGATACTGTACAAAGCAAGGAAGTTTCATGCTGAACACATCATGGAAGTGATCCTCACCCAGGAACACAAGGTTGTTGTAATTCTCCAACATTACATCCCTGTACAATTTCCATTGAGCAGGGCCCAGGCATTCCCACTCCTCAGCAGAGAAATAAATGACCACGTCCCAGAATGACAATATATCCTGAAATAAAGTAAAAAAAAGAGTAAATACAACATACTATGTTGATTAAAATTGTCAGTAACAGTATAAGTAACAAAAGGCATCGTGTCCATTTGGATACAAATCTAGTGGTCAACCCAGAGTGAGAGGACAGAAGTCCTTTAAATATAGGTAGAGAATATCCCTAATATCTAATGTAGTACTATGAAGTTACGCAGGACTCATCATTAAGGAAAGTGAATGGCATAAGAGCCTAGAAACTCCTATGAATATTATACTTTTGAGAACCATAAAATAAGCTGGGCAGTAGTGGCACACACCTTTAATCTCAGCACTTGGGAGGCTGAGGCAGGTGCATCTCTGTGAGTTCCAGGACAGCCTGGACTATAGGATAGCCAAAACTATTAAATAAATTTTGTCCTAGAAAAAAAATACTTGGAAAACCCAAAAATAAATAAAAAGATGAATTACAGATGAACATCAAAGACACAAAAGTTAAGAATACATAAACTTTATAAACTTCATCAAAAACTACAAAAAGTTTTTAAAAGACATGAAGAAACATCTCAATGCCATTAAAAATGTAACTAAGACAGCCCCTTTAGGAAATGACACTCTTAGGAGATGTGGTTTTGTTGGAGTAGGTGTGACCTTATTGGGAGAAATATGTCGCTGTGGTTTCCTTTGCTCAGCTTACTCCCAGTGCGACACATTGTTGCTTCTGATACCTGATGATTAAGATGGAGAACTCTCAGCTCCTTCTCCAGCACCATGTTTTCCTGCGTGCCAACTGCCATGATGATAATGAATTAAACCTTGGAAATTGTAAGCTAGCCCAATTAAATGCTTCCCTTTATAAGACTTGCCATGGTCATGGTGTCTCTTCACAGCAATAAAACCCTAACTGAGACAATATTATTAAGACACAAAGGCCAGTGAGATCACAAACGACATCATCAAAAATAAGCAACAAAATAACAATTAATGATCATATATCAGAACAACTAATGCCCTCCATTCTCCAGTCAAAAGATAATGGCCAGATGAATGGATCAAGAAACAAAATCCAACTTTCTATTGTCTGCAAGAAACACATTTAAGTGATGTCCTTTAGGTTTTTCCAATAGAATACAATGGGTTTCTAAAAATACTCTCTTATTATAGGCTAAATTTCTCTGGTATCTGTTTTAACATATACCTTTTCATTTCTGATGATGTTAATGTGGTACCTTTTTCTTTTGGTTGGTTGAGAAAAGAGTCAGTAATCTTATTTATCTTCTTAATGAAGCTGATGTGAATTTATTGATCATTTGAATCTTTTTCTTTTGTTTAATTTCCATAATTTCTCTTTTGATTTTTTCTTATTTCTTGTCATCAACTTGGTTTGGATTAGGTTTGTTCTTGTTTTTCCCAACTCTTTTTTTTAATTACTTTAATTTTAAATAGCTTGCTTCACATGTCAATCCCAGTTCCCTCTCCCTCCTCTCCTCCTGCACCTCCCCCAACCCCCCCAGCCTCCCACCCTATCACCATTTCCTTCCACATAGGGGATATCTAGAATCTGTCATTTCACTCAGGGCAGGGTCCAGGCACTCCCCTAAGAGTCCAGGCTGAGAGATCATCCCTCTTTGTGTTATGGACACATGATGTCTGTTTGTATGCCAGGGATAAACACTGATCTACTGCCCAGGGCCCCATAGGTTGCCCAGGCCTCCTCACTGACTCTCACATTCAGAGGGTCTGGATCAGTCACATGTGGGCCTTCCAACTGTCAGTCTGGGGTTCAAGAGCTCCCCCTTGTTCAGATCAGCTGTCTCTGCTGGTTTTGCCAGCCCATTTTTTGCCAATTTGCTCATCACCCCTCTCTCTGTGTCACTGGGTTCCGTGGGTCCAGTTCAGTGTTTAATCGTGGGTGTTTGCCTCTGCTTCCATCAGTCACTGGATGAAGGTTTTAGGATGGCATATAAGGTAGATGTCAAGTTCATTATCAGGAACGGGCATTTAAGGTAGTCTCTCCACTATTGCTTAGCTTGCCAGTTGGTGTCGTCCTTTTAGATCTCTAGAGGTCTCACTGGTGCCAGATCTCTCTTCAAACCTATGACTCCATTATAGTATTTCTCATCCTGTTCTCCCCCTATTCCCCCCAACTCTTTTTATAGTATCATTCAATCATTTGTGGTGCGCTTTCTCATATTTTCATGTAGGCAGTTAGAGCTATCATCTTTGCCCATAAGATTGATTTCAACAGGCTTCAGATGTTTGGTCTTGTTGTGATTTCATTTTCATTCATATGTAACTTCTATATATAAATGACCAATATTAAAGAAGAACTTAATTGCCTAGTGAGACCCAAAACAAATGGAGAGATTGAGTTTGTTAAAAGAAGTCTTCCAGATAAAAAATTAATTCCATGTCCAGGTAGATTCACAACAGAATTCTCATAGAAATTCAAATATTTACAGCTAATCGGTCTTCAAATATGAAAACAAAAGATACAGAAGGAGCACCCCAACCTACTTTTATGAAGCCAATATTATTCTAATAACACAATCAGGTAAAGACAAAACAACAACAGCAAAAGAACATTAGGGACTATTATCCATAATGAACATAGATTCAAAATGCTCAAAAAAAAAAGAACTTGCAATGTAAACACAGACACATCAAAAAGATTATCCAACATGATCAAGATGGCTTATCCCTTAAATTCAGGGATAGTTCAACATACATAAGTCAATAAATGTAATAAACCATGTAAATAGTCTTAAGAAAAAATCACAAGATCACTCCAATAGATATAGAAAAGATTTTGGACAAAATCTAACATGCGTTCATGATAAAGATACTAGAGAATGGACTAGTGGAGGGTTACGCCTTAACATAATACAATCCATATATGAGAAAACTCCAGCCAAAATCATCCTAAATGAGGAAAACATGAAGCAACTGACTGAGGTAAATAGGGAGACACAGCCACAAACTATCCCTTTCCAATACTGTGTATAAGTACAAGATCAGTAAATCAAGAGGAAAAGGTAGAAATAGGAAAATAAGAAATCAAAAGTATGCATCTTTGTGAATGGCATGACATTATACAAAGGTAATCTCAAAAGTCCTACAAGAAAACTTCTGGAAATACATTCAAATGCAACCACATGGAAGAATAAAAATCAATTTGCACAAATTAATAGTATTTCTATACATAAGCAACAGACATACAGAGAAAACGATTATGAACACATTCCCATTCAGAGTAGCCTCAAAGAACATAAAATGTCTGGGAATGAAACAAACCAAGGACGTGAATGCCTTTTACATGGGAAACTTTAAACAAATAAATAAAAAGAGTGAGAAAGGAATTAGAAAATAGAAAGACATGCAATGGTAGAGTTGGTAAAATTAACACTGGCAAAATTACCATTTTACCATAATCAATTTACAGATTCAATGCAATCACATTCAACATTCCCATCTCATTTTAGCAGAAATTAATACTATCGTAGTTCACATAGAATCACTAAAGAACACCACATAGCCATAACAATCCTGAAAAAAAGAACAATTATAGAAGGACTATTCTAGATCTCAACATATAATATAGAGCCATAGTAATAAAAACAAGATGGAACTTTCAGAAAAAAGACATGTAGACTAGACCAATGTAACAAAATCAAAGACCCAAATATAAGCACATATAACTTCAGTCATTTAATATTTGACAAAACTGCCAAATATACCCTGGAGGAAAGAATGCATCTTCAATGACCACACCCAATAAATTATGTTTTAAGAATCTTTTTTAACTTACAGGTCTCCTGTAGCCTAGGTCACTCTGAATTCTCTATGAAGCAGAGGACAACTGAGAACTCTGGGTTTCCTAACTGTTCCTTGAAATTCAGATATGACAGGAATGAGCTACAGAATAAGCTTAATTCAAAATATATGTAAATATTTGGGGCTTGTAGGTCAAATGAGAGCATGCTGCTGTGTCATATCTACTTTGCAAGGAAGCTGTTTTGATGTACAAGGTAGTGTGTTTTTCCCACTTCATATAATGTTACTCTTTCCCCTAAAGATTAGCAACATTAATTGGGAAGGGTCTATTATTTCAAATATGGCTGGCAACTCACTGACAATTCCAGTAGATAGGAGGAGGTGGTTTGAAGCCCATATTTCCTAAGAGGAGACATTGATGTCATAAGCCAGGCTCCAGCACACAAACACTTGGTTTGACTGAGAAGAGCAATACATGCAAGAGCACTTGAGCTAGGGGGAGGGGCTGTGGAGGAAATTTACTGAAAAGAAGTGGTCCGGCTGTGAGTGAAAAACTCTGGAAGGAGTCTGTGTCTGCAGAGACTGATGGGCCTTGGGGAAGTTCAGAACTGTTGAGAGTGGGATTCTGCAGGTTCAGAGAGTAATTAATTGCTTTAACTTGGGCTGGTTTTACCCTTCAAAGCCATTGATTCCTTGCATCACTCTGTAGTGGACCAAACGGCTAGCGACTGTGGTAGAATATTATTTTAAGGTGTGTGACTTTTGTTTACGCTGCATTTGTTAACTCTGTGAAGCTGTGGTCCTTTGCCTGTCTAAAACACCTGATGGTCCTTAATAAAGAGCTGAACGGCCAATAATGAGGCAGGAGCAGGGGATGCATGGGGCTGACAGGCAGAGTAGAAACAGGAGAAATGAGAAAGGGGAGAGGAACGAGAGGACAATGAAAGAAAGATGTCAGAGGCTAGCCACCCAGCCAGCCAGCCACAACGCCAGCCATGGAGTAAAAAGGAAAGTAAGATACACAGAAGTAAAAAAAAGATAAAAGCTCAGAGGGAAAAGATAGATGGAATAATTTAAGAAAAGCTAGATAGAAACAAGCCAAGCTAAGGCTGGGCTTTTGTAACTAATAATAAGACTCTGTGTGTGATTTACTTCGGGGCTTGGTGGTGGGCCCCTCAAAAGAGCTGAAAAGAGTAAAATACATTCCCAACAATATGTGACAACAGGTAAGTCTTTTAGAATCCGCT